GTATCCCTGTGCAGCCTGACTTGCTCTGCTCCAGTCTGTGCTGCCAGTGTGATCTCTGCAGGAAGAGGCTGCTCTCTGCAGGTTTCCTGCCAGCCCTCTCTCATCTCTGGGCCTGTACCATCCCCATCATGGTTTGTTGTGCACGGATCACTAAGCAGTTTCCTTTCTCTTAGGGCACCTCTGCTCTGTGTCCAAGTGAATCTGCAGCATCTCCTGTGTGATTGCTTTCCTGCTCCTTTGAGTGCACGGCCCAGTAAATAAGGAGGGGGATGGAAAGCACATTGTAAATGTGTTGACAGCTTTTGAAGAACAAAACAGCCCCTGAAATCTGCCTTGTCTGCCTTACCCTCCTCTTCTGCATGCTTTTGCTTTCTTTTCTACCATTTTATCTTTTCTTCATCTCTTCTCCCAAATTATTTTACATTCTTTTGATACCCACTCTTTTCTTTTGGCACTTGCTGCTCTGAAAAGATTTCCTTCCTCCCTTATAATCTCTATTTCTCATTTGGGGGGATTGTTTCAAGGCCTGTGTGGGAACAAATGAAAAGGGGGATTAATTCTGTTTCTGAGTGCATGGCTTGCATCAGTTCTCTGCCCATTCTTCTCTCTCACCCCAGGTACCATGTGTTTAGAAAGTACCCTGCTGTTTTTCTAAATGCTTTCAGCAGGGTAGAATCTGCTCTGGGAAGGTTTTTGTGCTTATTGATGCTAGCAAAAGAGGTACAGTTATTTATTTTATATCAGTTATTTAAACAAAACAAGAAAAAAAAGCCCCCAGGATGTTAAAATATCCAGTCAACTAAATTATTTTCTTAGGGCCCAAATTCTAGTTTTGTTCCTTCTTGTTGAAGGGAGGCTCTTTGTGCTCTGCTCCCAACCTGCTGGCCTGTCTAATGTACTGGAATTGATGGGCAGGTCTGTCCCTTTGTGCAAGATTGTTCCTCTGGCTTCCCCTTCCCAGGCAGGAACAGCACAACCACTGAGATCAGTGATCCTGAATCAAAACAGAGCTGCAGCTGTTTGGGTGTGGGCAGCTGTGAGAGAGCACAGTGCTGTCTGATGCTTTAATGAGGAGCAGACTCAGGTGAGGGAGCCCTGTGTCTCAGGAAAACAGGGATTTGTAGGCTCTTGGGGAGAAACTGGAGTTCTTCAAGCCATAAGGGACCTTGTCCTGGCTCACAAGCCTCTCACTAGACTCTTCTTCAGCAGATGGATCCACAAGGACTGTGGGTGTATGGCTCCAGGAAAAGTGCTCTGCTTGGTGTCTGCCTGTATTCTCCTTTTAACAAGGATAAGTCTACATTCTGTTCCTGGCTAAAGCATCTTTCTCCAAAACACTTTAATTGGGATGAATGGATAAAGTTTTACTCTGAAAGGGAAAGAATGTACCAAAGTTTCCAAAGGATGGTAACAATACTTTCTCTTCTGTACCAGAGAGATGAACTTTCAGGAGATGTGATATTTCAGAGGAAGGAAGAGACACTGCACATTTTGGGAACCAATTCCCTGTGACAAGGACTATTTTAGAAGATAAAGTTAATTGGTGGGAACTTATGGGAAGAAAAATGTAGAAGTAATAGCCTTTAATTATATTGAACCCTGAAGTTTTATGTTGAAAATATGAAAGCCAGAATTTTAGGTAATGTTTTTTGTTTGGTTAGTAATACAAGAATAGTTAGTGTTATGGATATTCCAGCTTACAAGTGATTAATAATAATGGCTTTAATAATAATAAATATGGAGAATGTAATACAGAATTTAGGCTGAAAGAAAACACAGCCCTTATTTCTAGCTTTTAAAACTTTCAAACTAAAAATATTGTCTCTGTGTTTGTCTCTCTCTTTGTCAATTTTATGTTCAAGCCTTATAAAACCTGTCCCAATTTTTACCTATTGTATGATTGTACACTGTATTTAGCACTGTGCATATTGAGATATCCCTGTTGGGAGGGAGGACATTGTTAGTTTTCCTAACAAGGTACATATTTGCTGTTTCATAAACCAGAAAATGTCTGAAATGTTTCATTAAGGGAATACATAAAGTAAGTACCACTGTATCTTCTGGAAGCTCAGCTCTTGGAGCTCCTTGGGAGATTTTTTTGGCTTAAGTTCTCTTCAGAACTCAAAGTACACCAAATTTAGCCTCTCATCTCAGAAACCTTCCCATACACTTAAAAAAGTTGTAGTGCTTATGTGGAAGCTGCGATTATGACACATCCGAGCTGGTCTCCCTCCTTCCCCTTGAGTTCTGAATTCCTCCTCTCCTTGCCCTAATTTTATCCTTAAAACAGAAAGTATTGGAGGACTTGGGAAGATGTTCCCAGCCCTGGAAGCAGCTCTCCCAGCAGAGATTCTGGTTTGCCTCATAATTTAAACTAAACTGACACAAGAGATTTTTTTTCCTCTTCTGCATTTAAACAATCAATAATTTAGAATGCTTGTACAGGAAAGCACCTTGTTTTTGAGGTTCATGCTGTCTGTTCACATCTCTGTGCTGATGTCTGTCTTGTGTGCATGTGTAAATTGCCTTGATATGTTTATCCATGTTGTCATGTCCCTTGCAGCTGCTGGTGCTGACAGACACATGCTGCCATCGGGTTGGCTCGTGTCTCTCTGGAGAATGGTGTCTCTGGAGTTGCCTGGACAGCCCTTCCAGACTCTGCTGTTATTTCTCCCCTCACTCTCCTTATTTAACCCAAGATTTCTTATTTGTGTGTATGGACAAAAATAGCCCAGCAGAGTCTCTGCTCATTTTTGTCTTCTGATCCATATCTGGGATTTTTGGTCTAAGTACAGCTTTCCAGGAGGGATTTTATTGCATCAGTACAGCTGTTGTGGAAGCAGGAGCTATTGAAGAAGCTTTTAAGAGCAGAAGGTGTGGAGTGAATAAGTATTCTTGGGTTGGTACTCCCAGTATTCAGTGTTGCTCCTTTTGGAACCAACGATGAGGAGGTTGCTATTTAAAAATCTCCTTTCAGTGCAGTTGCAGGAGTTCTCTTGCCTCACTGTGCTCTGCTCCTGACTCCTGGTGCACCCATCTGGGATGAAGGAGAACTTCCTCAGGGTCAGCCACCCACCTGCTGCAGCTTCTAGCTGGTACCACCCCAAGGAGCTCACTGCTTCTTGAGGACTCTGTCAAGCATATTTTACACAAAATTAACTATGTTTTGAATGTTAAACCTTCTCCATGTTTAAATTGGTGACCTATAAAAGCTTTTGATCTGTTTGCATCCCCATGGAGTGGGATTAAAGTTTTTGCTCTGTAAGGTGCCCAACTGGCTGAAAGGTGTGGTGGGCTCCCCACCCTGCTGGGCACAGCCCTGGCCTGGGCACTGTCCCTCTGTGCTGCACCATCCTCTGCCCATTGTCCATAAACCCACAGGAAGCCCTGTGATGCTGCAGAGAGTTTGCCAGTTGTTATTTCCAGTGCTGCCTTGACCAGGAGTGATTTTTCAAGAATATGTTGGAGTTGTGAAGCTGTTCTATTCCTGGGTCTGAGTGAACCTGCGTTTTGGAATACACCTGAGATGGGGAATAAATGTATAGAAATGTTACAGCTGTTGTGGAAGCAGGAGCTATTGAAGAAGCTTTTAAGAGCAGAAGGTGTGGAGTGAATAAGTATTCTTGGGTTGGTACTCCCAGTATTCAGTGTTGCTCCTTTTGGAACCAACGATGAGGAGGTTGCTATTTAAAAATCTCCTTTCAGTGCAGTTGCAGGAGTTCTCTTGCCTCACTGTGCTCTGCTCCTGACTCCTGGTGCACCCATCTGGGATGAAGGAGAACTTCCTCAGGGTCAGCCACCCACCTGCTGCAGCTTCTAGCTGGTACCACCCCAAGGAGCTCACTGCTTCTTGAGGACTCTGTCAAGCATATTTTACACAAAATTAACTATGTTTTGAATGTTAAACCTTCTCCATGTTTAAATTGGTGACCTATAAAAGCTTTTGATCTGTTTGCATCCCCATGGAGTGGGATTAAAGTTTTTGCTCTGTAAGGTGCCCAAACTGGCTGAAAGGTGTGGTGGGCTCCCCACCCTGCTGGGCACAGCCCTGGCCTGGGCACTGTCCCTCGGTGCTGCATCCTCTGCCCATTGTCCATAAACCCACAGGAAGCCCTGTGATGCTGCAGAGAGTTTGCCAGTTGTTATTTCCAGTGCTGCCTTGACCAGGAGTGATTTTTCAAGAATATGTTGGAGTTGTGAAGCTGTTCTATTCCTGGGTCTGAGTGAACCTGCGTTTTGGAATACACCTGAGATGGGGAATAAATGTATAGAAATGTAAAATGTTTACAAACAGCACTGATATTTCAGGATAACATGACTTTGTGAGCAGAAAAATAATGTCTTTAGTCTGTCAACTCTGGGGAAAAATGGGCTAAGACTCATTAAAGACTGTTCTGACAAGGACCAGGAAGATTGTATTTTCTGACTTTTAATTTTCCCATGGAGAGGCTGAGACAGTCTAGTGCTTAAAACAGAGAGCTGGGATTACATTTGAATCCTCTTTCTCACCAAGTAATTTAATTCTGTTTCTTTTTGTGTTATATGAAAATAACATCAGTTGGTGGCTTGAGCAATTTGAAATTCTTGGGTGGAATGATCTGAAGAACTGTAAACTGTTATCTGTGGACCAAAATCCCAGCTCTGGGTCTGTTTGTGTCCTCATCCAAGCTAGCAGCTCAAATCCTCCTGTTTCTTGTGAGACGAGATACCCTGACATTTAAAAGATCTCCCCAGCCTAGAGAAATGCCTCCTTCCTTCACTTATTTTTCTTTTCTATGAAGAACGGGACGCACATCCGAAATTAAATGATAAATCCTATTTTTGCTCCTTTAATTTTAAAACGGGCTATTCTTAAATTGTAAAAATCTTGTGTCAGATACCCAAATTGCGCTTAAGGAAGCAGTCGAATGTGTCTGGCATTTTCCAGCACCCGCCTGGCCCTATCTAACCTAAAATGAGAGCCGCGCGTCCCGAGGGGCGGTGGGAGATGCCGGCGGGCAGCGTGTCTGAGCCCAGCAGCCCGTGCCAGGTCTCCGGAGGTCAGAGCACGGCTCTTTCAGCGTGTGCATCCCCCCTCCTCCCTCCCCTGTCCCCTCTCGGTGTGTATTTTGTCTCCTCCTCCCGTGCGTGCCCGTCTTTGCCTCCCCGCTGCTCTCCCTCCGCCGCCCGGGCTCTCGGGGCCGCCGCTTGCAGGGCTGGTCCTTGCTCCCCGCCGCCTTTTGCCGAGTCAAGGGGATCTCTCCGGAGCCGGGCGAGCTGCCGGCGATGTGATCGCATAGCAACACAGCAGCCGGGGCGGTGGAGGAGGAGAGGCAGCGGTGCTGAGGCTCAGCATGCATCCCTGTCACAGGGATCCTCTGCTGATTCACACAGCCCCGCTGCCCCCGCGCCTCGGACCCGGCCGGCTCGGAAGGTAGGCCATGGCAACGCTTGTTTCCCACTCCTGCCCGGGCTGCAAAAGGGGACGATGTGGAGGGATGGTTCAAGGTGGGAAATGCGCTCTTTGGGGGTGTGCGTGTCCCTCGGCAGCAGCGCTGCCCATGCATGTGCGGCTGAGGAAACTTGCGGAGAAGAAAGGAAGGAAGGGTGTCGGGGTGAGAGCCGGAGAGGCGGCCGAGAGCGTTTCCACGAGGGAGAGGCTGGGGAGCAGCCAGGGATGCGGGTCCGGGCAGCAGCCAGGGATGCGGGTCCGGGCAGCAGCCAGGGATGCGGGTCCGGGCAGCAGCCAGGGATGCGGGTCCGGGCAGCAGCCAGGGATGCGGGTCCGGGCAGCAGCCAGGGATGCGGGTCCGGGGAGCAGCCAGGGATGCGGGTCCGGGGAGCAGCCGCCTCCCGCACGCCGCTGTGATGCTCCGCTCATTGAAGGTTTATTTACCCGGGCTGCTCCGGGCAGGGAGCGTGGTGGCCTTCTAGCACCTTCCTGGGAGCATCAGGCAGCAGGGCAAGGCAGGCACCCAGATATTCCTCACGTAGCGAGCCAGGATCAGCCCACAGCCCCGGCTCTGCCCTTTCCATTCAGCACCTTACGCGGGCCAGCCTTGCTCCTTCGTGTGTCCGCCCTCCCCTCCCCCAGCTTCTCCCCAGCTCCTTCCACTCATCGTTCCTCCTCCTCCTCCCCTCCCAAGGGCTTCTATTGCCAGCACTGACCTTCCCCTGGATGAGCCCTGGCCGGCTGCAGGATGGCCTGCAGCAAGCACAGGACCTTTCCTGCTCCCAGGGCTCAGCCTCCCTCTCCCTGCCATGCAGCACAGCCTGGGCTGTGGTGTCTCAAGGTTTAGTGCCACAGATTATTACAGGTGCCCAGTCCAGCCTGGTTCCTTCAGCCTTCCCTCCAGCACAGCAGCACAGCCGTGGAGATCCACTGGTGGAAGTGCCAGCATTGTATTTGTGGGGTTTTAATGCTGAGGTTGCCCGTGTGCAGTGACAGGGGTGGGGAGCAGTTATTCCCATACCCTTAAATGCCACACTTTCTCTGGGAGAAAGCAGTGTTTGTTTGTATTTTGAGTTTTAGTGATGAAAAAAAAAAGTCTAGTCAGTTTTTTGTCAGTTTGTTTTCCCCGTGCCCTAATCCAAGGTCCCTCACACCTCTCCTGCTGCTGCTCACCTCTGTCCTGGATCTGGGAGAGTTCTTGTTTGGTTATTCCCATTAATGGCCTTTCCTGCCTGACCACGGTGCCCTTGTTGAGGAAGCTGTGTGAGGTCCCAGCCACCAGCTTCACCTGTGCTGGGGGGTTTCCTCTCTCCTGGCACTCACGTGTGGCTCTGGTGCCATCTCACACCCTCCCCTGCCAGCTCCTGTGCTGAAAGCTCTTTCTGTGCTGCTGTGGAGCTGTCCAGGCAGGTTTTTGGAGTCAGCAAGGATGTGGTGCCGCTCTGGAAAGGAACTGGACCACAGTCTCATTTAGCAGCTGTGTCCAGAAGTGTGGGAGCCTGGGGTGCAGGGAGGGGAGGTGCTGGAGGGTTGCTGTGATTGATGCTGTGCTCAGGTCCTCTCTGTCAGCTGAAGGAGCTGAGATGGGATGAGGATCATGTCTCTGGATTAATGCCTGAGTCAGATCAATGCTGCTCTCTAAAACTGGCTGGGCTGTAACTGTGAATGGGCTGCTCAGGTTGGAGTGGCTCTTTGCAAAACCAAACAAAGTGAGACAGGGAAGGGATTAAATGGATGGGTTCAAGCAAAGTCCTGAGTTCTGGAGACATATGGTGAATTTATGAATATAATCATGTTTTGAGAAATACATTCAAGGCTTCCACTTCAGCCTGGATGTCTGTGATAAAACCATAACAGAGGAATTATGAGTCTCGTGAAATAAGACACACTGACCAGAAAGAACTCAGTCTTCAAAAAACTCTCATTTTCATAGGTGTATGAAGATGAAACCAATCTTTTCAGAATTGAGCCAAAATTGCTCCATCCCATTTGCCTTTGCTGTTTCCCTTTGCATAAGAATAAGGTCACTCTGACACATCTCAAGTAGGGGAAAGGAAATGTGACTCCACGGGGCACACAGCCTGGTCATAAAATTCATGGCCTCAGAAGGCCAGGGAGCCTTGTGCTTTGGCAGGGAGTTTATTATAAAAACGACCTTGGGGGCAAGGCAGAGTATTCAGTTTAGAGAAGCAGGTGCCAGGTTTACAGTGAGAATGAGAAGCAAAGTGCCAAGGCAGCCAGAGTCAGCAGCATTGCCTTGGCCATCAGAACCGAGTGTGGGTGTGCTCTTCCCACTGCTGTTGATCAGTTACACAGCGTGGCAATTGGGTGATGTGCTTTTCACAATGCAGCAAAACTTGTTTGCTGCTTCCAGCAGCAGGGAAGGGAAGGTTCAGGTGCTTAGAGGAGAAAGGCAAAGGCAAGGCTTGAGGTTTTTACTGGTTTAAACTGGCAGGTTTCAGGGCTCCAGGAGCCACGTTTCTGAAGGAATGTCTTCAATTTTTATGCTCAGTGCAACCTTCTTTCAGTCATTAAGCAAGTGGTTTGCCCCCTATTCTGCTGTCCCTTTTGGGAGGTTGCTGCTTACTCTTCTCCTGCTCCTTCTGTCTGTCAGGTCCAGCAGGCAGCAGCTCCTCTGTGTCCAGCCCAGCAGGGCTGTGGGCTCACAGCTGGCTCCTCTGCCTGCTCCACTCATTATTTCAGTACTTTAAGCTGCTAAGAGATGGGAAGAGTTCCTAGGAAAAGTGAGCTTTAGAGGGAGCAACTTAAAACCCAGCTGGGAGTCTGAAACGACACGCAAAGGAAATTGAGGTTTTCAATCTTCCTTAAGAAAAATCCCCCAAGTTATTTTTGAGCAGAGAGAGGGGTAGTCAGTTTTGCATGACCGTGTTGTGGGCATACACCCACACTCACCTGGTGAGGTGGGGACATCACCATCACCACAGTTTCCTAGTGCAAAGCCAACTGGTGAAATTTTTCAGTTTGAGGTTGTGTGAGTGTGTATATTCTGTTGCTTAGGAAAATGGAGAGTGAGCGAGCCAGGGGAAAGGATGCTGCTTCCTTATTAAGATGTGTGGCACCTGTTTATCCATTGAATTAAAACAACATTTTGGTTATGAGCTCCAAGTCCAAGTGGCCATTTAAGAAAGGAGCTCATTAGATGTGAGAGTCCCCACTTCACCCACCCTCGGTGAATAACTCAGCTTCTGCTGCTTGCTCACTGCCAGGTACAGCCAAGGTTTTATGCTACTTCTCATGGACAGGTGCTTAGTTGAAGCACCCTTCATTTTAATTAATGAAGGGGAGCTGGTTCTTTGGTGGAAGTGCAGTGTGAAGCCCAGTGGCTGCTTTGGCCTCTGGGATTTTTAGCCCTCAGATGTTGGGGTTGGAAACGCTCCCACATGTGGAAGATTGCTGGCAGTCCCCTTCCAGGGTGCATGGGAGCACATAGCAGCCAGGAGAATGTTGGGATGATTTTTGTGGGAGTGTGTTTGGGTGTCTGTTCTGGGTTTGTAAAGAGGTGGAGATGAAGGGCCCGTGCTCTGAGAGGGAACTGTGTTGTTTTTTGTTGATCCCAGTGGGACAAAGGTTGCTTTTCTCTCACCAAACCTTGACCAGTGGGGTCTTGGGAATTAGGTCGTCTGGCCTGCGATCTCAGGCTTAAATTATTTACTTACAAGTGCAGAAAATAATTTTTTGCTGAAACAGGATGTGTTGTTAAGCTGTCTAGGGAGTCCTGCTGTCTGCCAGCCTGGGAATGCTGCCTTTGTTAGCATCTACATGGGAGCTGAACTCCGAAATATCCACAAGCCTCCCACCTTTCCCCTGAAAGGACACTGAACATGCTGAGCTGAAATGTTATTACTTCTCTGTACAGTAAGTTAAACAACAACAAAGTCATTAACATTTCCAGCAGCAGGGAACATGTTTGTATTTCCACTCTCCTCATGGGATAAAGGCTGAGCTGAGCTGCCTTGCCTCAAGATGTTCCCATATTTTTTTCCTTATAGGCCAAGATCTGAAGTGGAAAGTTTCAGGGAAGAATGTTTAGGAGGAAATTAGGAATTCAAAGCATAGACCATGTGAGTGAGAGACCTCTTGACCTGTATGCTGTGTTTGCTGCTGTTATGTGTGGTAGGGAGCTGGAAATTCAACATTACACTCTACTGCCTGTGACAGGTTTCTAATCTTGGGGGCTGGCTTCAGGCACTGGGTCAGCTGCAGTGTGAATTCCCTCAGTGTTTGGGTATGGGTTTCTATCAGGAGGGTTTTAAACAAATGCAGCAGAATTGGAGAATGTGCCCTGGTGGCAAGCTGTCGCCTTCCTTTTGGCTGGGGTGGAGAAGAGGTGCTGCAGGAGCTGGGACAGCCCCTCAGCCAGCAGGGATGCTCTGCAGCAAGTCTGGAAAGCAGAGAGAGCACAGAGGTCCCTGAGGGGTGCAGTGAGTTGTGTGACAGAGCTGAAACAGGACTGCTTGAGCCAAGGCTACTCCAGCTGCCTTTGTCAGACTGCCTGGAAAGAAGGGAGTGGGACAGGCTCTCCAGGGCTGAATTTGTAACAGCTCATGGAGGAAGAGAAAAAAAGGCAATTATTTTGGTTTTAATACCTTTAATGCCCAGGCATTCAACTGTTGAAAAGTAACATCCAGATTTTTGGCTCTCTCATTTTTCAACTGGAGGATCATCCAGGTCTCACCTCGGGAGTGGTTTGGGTGCTGAAGTGTTTGGAAGCTCTAGCACAGCACTGTGGAACATTCCTGCTCCATCTCTCAGGGTGCTCTGAGAGCAGAGGCAAGTGTTGGGTGCTTTGCTTGGGGGAGGATGCAAAACAGCACCAGGTAAGAAGGTTGTACCTGGTGCCTCTGAGGGCTGATGTGACACCTTTGTGCCTGCACAGACAGCTGAGGCACACCAGAGGAAGAGGTTTCCCTCCTTGCTGTCTCCACTGTGTGAGTGCAGTGCCCCAGTGCTCCATGGTGACTCTGCCACTGCTTCTTGCAGTGTCCACCTGTGGAAATTCTCACCTGCTTCTGCTCACCTGAGCCTTGATGTTTGTTCTGTGCCCAGGGGACCAAGCTCACTTTATATCTGTTTGAACAGCCTGACCATGTTGTTCCCTGAGTCCTCCAAAGGAGAATCTCAACTCTTTTCAATCAGAGGCTTGCAGTGGGCTGTGGGGATGATAGTTTTTGTTTGCATTTCAGTCTGGTTTGTACGGTGTTGAACCTTGGCTGTCGTGTGCTGAGTCTCCAGCACCAGCCTGAAGCAGAGTGCAGAGGGTGAATGGTGGTGTGGGAGAGGCAAAGTGGATCCCAGGTTTGGCTCTTGACAGACATAGGCATCAGGCAAGAGGAATTCAGCCAGGAAGCATCCACAAAATCTCTGCTCCACATGCTGCAGTGCCCAGCCCCAGAGCTGTATGGAAGCACTGAAGTAGGAGTGCCAGAACTGGAGCTGTTTTGTGTGCCTCAGCAGAGAAGCAGAGCAGATCCAAGAGCATTTCTCCTTGCTTGGTTCCAGTAATAGCAGGGAATTTGGCAAGGGGTCACATGGAGCTGTTGGCTTGCCTGCAGACGTGCCTCTCAGTCTGGTTGTCTCTCTCTCCCCAAATGTGCTCCTTTGTGCTGCTGAGCAGCTCAGGCAGTTCCACACTACCTGGGTTCTCTGCCCCTGGGTTTTGTCTTTGCTGTTGCAGAGTGGCAAAGGGCAGCTGAGCCCCTGCCCTCCACCCTGCTCTAGTGCTCCTGGCAGCAAGGGGCTGCACAGGACATGACCGGGTAGTGCCCTCTGCTTGGCACTCAGCTTGTTCTGACTGCTGCCTTGGGCAGGCTTTAGTTCCCTGTGCCATCTGTGTCCTGATGGGCTTGGCCATCCCTGGAGGAGTTCAAGGAGCCAGCCCTCAGGAGGGCAGCAATGGCTGTCCTTGTTTCCACGATGCTGGCAGGGAGCGTGGGCACCTGCAGGACCAGGGCTGCCCACCCCATCTCAGAGCTGCACCTGCCCCGTGCATGCACGTCTGGCACTCAGCAAAGTGCAGTCAGAGCACTGTGAGCTGCCCACCACTGCTCCTGTTCTCTGTGCTGCTGGCAGGAGCTGGGGCCAGGCAGTGCTGGGAGGACGAAGAGCAGAGAGCCCCTGGGTGTGCTGTTGGAGGGCTGGCTGAACTCCTCTGGCCAGCACACATCCCTGCAGCTTCACTGCACTGTGCCACAGAAAAACCCAGGCCTCGGGATGGCAACTCCAGGGAGACATCACAGAACCCCTCTGCAAAAGCCATGGGTTTCCCAGTCCTGGGGAAGAGCTCACTGGCATTCTTCTGTTGGGGGCTTTGAGGAAAAATAACTTTTCACACCCTGAGAATTGTATCTTGGCTACATTGCGTGTCATGCAGAGGTAATTTAGAGGAACAGAGCCCAAATGGCACAAGCACTGGAGGGAGAGGAGGTGCTGTTACCTTCTGCCAGAAATCTTCTGTACCCTTGGGGCTGGGTGTGGTGAATTTGCACCGAGAGGCTGGAGGGCTTTGAAGACCCTGGAATTTATAATGATTAGTGTGGGTCTCATAATCCCCTCATAATCCCCTGGCTGCATGGGGAGAGGAGCAGGGATGCACAGCCTGCAGCGTTCATTGGTGCTAATGGGCAGGAGAGGAGAGGACGAGACCTTGGACTGTCAGCCTGCTGGAGAGCTCAGCACAGGCTGTTCTGCTGGAAAGGGAGCGAATTATGGCTGTAAAAATCACTAAGAGATTAAAAAAAATCACAGGATAATCTCTTAATGTGTGTAATTGAGGGCAGAGAGGCAGTGAGGGCTGTGAGGGTGCCAGAGCTGGGCAGTGTGCGCGGGGCCGGGGGGCTCTCCTCAGCTGTCACTGCAGGATGTGCTGCCTCTCCTGCTCCTGCTCCTGCTCCTGCTCCTGCCCTGCCAGGAGGGCTCCCCCAGCTGTCACTGCAGGATGTGCTGCCTCTCCTGCTCCTGCTCCTGCTCCTGCTCCTGCTCCTGCTCCTGCTCCTGCTCCTGCTCCTGCCCTGCCAGGAGGGCTCCCCCAGCTGTCCAGCTGAGCTGGGTGTGAAGGAGCCAGCAGCCTTCTTCCATCAGCATCACTCAAAGCAGCCTCATCTCCAGGCAGATGTGAGCTCTGTCTGCTGGAGAAGGTGATTTTTACCTTCTCAAAGTAAGATAGCAGTCACCAAGTTTTCTCTGAGCTTTATTTCTCGTGGCTTTCCATAAAGCTGAGATGGTGCTGGCAATGAAATGAATCCCTTTTTTAGCTCATTTAGAGTCCAAACAACAAAACCCAGCAGCACTGTGACCAGGGGTTGCATTTCTGATCTATAGAATAGTCAAGGGGCCACTGCTAACTGGCTTTACAGGTCATGCAGTTCAAAAATGGGGATAATGAAGGGAATTTTATAGCTCATAATGAGCAAAAACTCATAAAAAGCTAGCTCACAGTATGAGATACATGAAGCTGGGGCTCTAGGCAATTTGCCTTCTGAATATAAAAGGAAAAAATATGTTTGAAAATGTTGTCTGTTACAGGGATATGTCTGTTCTGTCTAAACATAAGTTGTTCTGGATTAAAAGCCATACTGTACCACCTGCTAGGAAGAAAGTGAATGTTATCTCAATCAAACTATAACAATGGCCATGACAGTGAGATCTTCTCTCCCTTTCTTTAAACCATGGGCATCTTGTACAGCCCAAGAAACCCAACTCTTTCTAGAAGTGCAGTGTAGTCTGTGGGACTCACTAACAGCAAATTGCATAACCAGGTGGAAGAAAAGAGTTGGATGCTTAGATGAAACAAGACTGCAACACTAGCAGAAGCACATTAAATTAAAAGATGTTTCGTTTTAGTCTGCCATGCGCTGCCGGCAGCTGGGAGGGGGGTCAGCTCCGTGAGGAGGTGCAAGCTGACCCGGGGACTCTAACACTGCCTTTCAGGTGCTCCATGCCCGTGAGCAGCAGCGCTGATGCAGCCCCTGGTGATGCAGGAATGGCTCCATGTCCTCCCTCCCTGTGCTGAGTGGCGCCCGCCGGCCCCGGCTGCCCGCCCGCTCTCCCAGGTAAGAGCTGCCTCGGGGAGCCTCCTCCGGCTCCTTGGTGCAGAGCTGGCAGCTTTCTGTGGGGCAGACAGGCCCTCTGTGCCTGCGGGAGGGAGGGCTGCCAGCTCCTGCCCCCATGGCTCAAGGAGAGCGTGTGCTCTGCTCCGGCACTCCTGCTGCACAGCGTTCCCCAGAGCAGGGGAGAGAGCACCTGCAGGGCTGGACCCCGAGCCTCTCCCACAGTGAAGAACCAGAGGTTAACTGCTCTTATGTATTTGGTTGGGCTTTTTTTTTTTTCCTGGAAACTTGGAAGAATGTCAGCTTTTGGTGAAAACGTAGGTTTTCTACTCTTCCTGGTTGCAGAGAAGAGCTGGGAAATAAACCCCTGGTGGATGCTGTAAGGCAGAGGAGGAATCTGACCTCTCACTAATCTAATTATCTTGAGGCACAGACCTTGGTGTCCCTCCTCCTTCCCCCAGGGTCTCGGAGCCCCAGGCCAGGCTCCTCACCAGAGGGGCAGGAAGGTCTCTGGGGATCCCTGGGCGAATGGCAGAGCAGACTGAAGAACAGAAAGGTGCTGGCAACTGTCTGCAAAGCTGCCTGTGCTCTGCACTGAGCTGGCATGAGGTGGTTGAGCACCCCTGGAGTGGGCTGTGCCAGGCTCTGGATCCCTGTTTGCCTGTAGCTCTTGGTCCCAGGGTACCTCTCACCTGTCTGGACAGTGCCAAAGGTTCCCTTGGGCACTGGCAGTGTTCTTGCCAGGACAAACCAGGTCCCAGCTCTGCCTTTTCCTTTTTTGTCATGCTTCAAGAGAAGCAAGGGCTGAGCCTGGGGTTTCTCCCTACTGTGGCTGACCACCAGCCTGGGCCTGTTTGCCTCGGGGGCTGGGATCTGCAGGGGGAAGGCAGAGCTGTCTCTGGAGAGGCTCCAGCCTGCAGGAATGAGGCAGGGGCAGGCTCTTGGTGTCGGGGTTCCTTGGCCCCAGGGTGGCTGGTGCCATGCTGTGTGGACCAGTGCACAGTGGTTATAAACAGCCTGGCAAATGAAGCGAGGAGGGAGAGGGACAGAACAGGATGAGCAGGGAAAAGCCTTCCTGACCTGCCTGAGCAGCCCAAGCCTCTGTGAGGGGATCAGAGCTCTGTGGGATTTGCTGGGAGAGAGGAGGGGAGCAGGAGCAGGGTTAATGACAGCTCCCCGTTAGAAGGGGCTGCTGTTGGCACCTGGGGAACAGCCTCCCTGTCCTGTCCTTGCTGGTCCTGAAAGCTCTGGGCAGGCTGCACAGCCCGTCCTTAGCTGTGCCTCCCTGAAGCCCCCTCCTCCAGTCTGGGAGCTGCCCTCCCATCTGTTGGACCCGAGGGTGCTGGGGAGAGGAGCTGGCTGTGCTGGTCGCAGAGGGAGGGCCAGCACCCATCAGATGTGCAGGCAGAGAAGAGAGGGAGAGATACTGGGAGCTTTTCTTTCCCTCCCTGTAGGTGGAAGAGAGCATGATAAAAATTCTGGGCGTCAGGACTGTGGGGGACACAAGAAGCCAGCCCAGAGCTTTTTGGCAAAAAGAAACTATTTGCACTTGGTCCAAGCTGGCATGAACATCTGCTGGTACCCAACACCGTGCTGGGGCACAACAAGGGCATCTTTGACTTTTTTTGGGATTAGATCTCAAGAACCCATTTACCTCCTGGGTCACTGAGCCTTGATGGGATGATTTCCTGGCTAAATCCCTTTCCTGGCAAGCACCCCTGTGTGCTCCAGCATGGGGGCCAAGTCTCTGCTGGTCATGGCAGAGCATCCCCTGCCCTGGCCTCGCAGGGACGGCTCTTCAGCTGCTGTGCCAGCGCTGCTGTCCCACCTGGGGCTGCCCTGCGGCGGGCACATCCCTGCCCTCCGGTGCTGGGAGGGCAGCCGCGGGGTTAGGGCGGCTCGGAGGCTGCTGGAATGCCGCCGGACAAAGCTGGGATTGAGGCTGGCCGTGTGGCCGCCGCCCCCCGCGCATTCCTGGGGGGTCAGTGCCCGCTGGCACGGCGGCAGCGATGCCGCTCCTCGGGCCGAGCCGGGCTGAGCGCGGCCAGCGGCGCTTGCCACAGCAGCGTGAGTCCCAAAATAACCCTGCTGCAGGGGAGGGGGGTGAGGGTCCGGGCTGCCGCTGCCGGGCTCTGGGGAAGGGATGCTGAGGGGTGCTCGGAGGGAAAGCGCTGATTTCTGCCCCTGCTCGCCTGCAGGGGTTTCGCACTGGGGAAGCTGGTGTTCGGCACCTGCTCTCTGCTTGGTCACTGCTACCAGATTATCTGCGAGCCTTGGGAGCTGCAGGCGTGGTGGGCTTTTAATTTACGGAGTAAGGCTGGGTTGTCTGCAGAGCTGTGCTGCAGGTGCCCCCAGGCAGAGCTGATCCCTTCCTTTGGTGTCCCCTGGGACAGAGGGGAGGGCTGGAGCGTTCCCTGGGACTGACCTACTTCAGTGCCACGAGCACCCGCACATGCAGAGCACTGGTTTTAATGTGTGCAAGCAGCAGTTTGAGCTTCAGTGGATCATTAGCTGTGGCCCCAAGAATGCTGTGAACTCTGTGGGTGATAGTTTTCTCTGTTTTCTTGGTGTTTCTGGAGTGGCAGGATGGGGAGGCAGAGAACAGCCTGTTGGATGTTTTTAGATGAATCAAACTTAGCACCAGTCTTGGCGATCGTTTGATTTTTCTCTGAGAACTGGTGTGGAGGGGGTATTTTTAGCTGTGCAGCCAAATTCCTTGTCTGGTTGTTTTCTCCTGCCTGTTGTTTCCCTGGCTTGGCTGCATCCCTTCTCCAGACACCTCCACGAGCCCTTGGACAGCACAAGTGACAAGTATGTGCACATTCCCCTTGAAAGAGCTGCTGCTTTTCCCCCAAGGCAGCTGCCCTTATCTGGCCTGTTGTACGCTGCTTAGAAAGTACTAACACATTTAATTATGGTTGATTAAGCACCTGGGGATAATTACCTCTCTAATATCAAAGCAGCATTCGATCGAAATGCTGCCATTTCTCCAACACAGCTCATTGATGTCTCACTTATGGGAAAGTGTCCATGTGTTTTGCTCAACAAACTGTGTTTTTTGGAGAGAAAATCCCCTCTCACTCACTGAGTCCTGCGTGAGGGGCTTTTGATCCTGTGTGTTGCTGTCACCAGCACATGCAGCAGAGTGTGTTGTGATACAGTGCTGAAGGCTCAGGAGAGGATTCCAGCAAGGATTTGCTGTCCAGGGATCAGAACCCAGTTTTTCCAGCTGGATGTGCTTCCCTTGCCTGGCTGGGTTGGGATTTGCTGTCTTCTCTCCGTGGCCTTTTGCAGCACCCTTCCCACGGCTGTTCATTCTGGAGAGCTGCGGAGGAGAAGCAGCATCTGTGGAGGAGAAGTGGCTTCTCAGATTTGCCATGCAGGCAGGGAATATCCTGGAGCCTCTGTAGAGGAGCAGGTGGCAAGTGCCAGCATTGGGGATGGCATAAAGGATGTTGGCAGATCCCCTTGGTCCCTAGGAACAGCAGGATCAGCCTCCTCTCGAAGCACAGCAGCTCTGTATAACACGGGAAAAATCATCATTAGCCCTGCAGGCACTGTGACACACAGGGACCAGCGCTGGCTTAACAGCTCTCAGCAAGATAAGCTCATTGCTGGGTGGCTGAGGAGAAAGGAGATGTGCAGCAAACCCTCCCTTCAACCTTTGCTCTGGGTGCTGCTGGAGCTGGCACTGCAGCCTTCTTGCAGAGACAGCCAGGAGTTTCCTGGGAGCTGCTAACAAACCACTTAAGGAACAGAGCAGCCTCGCTGAGAGTCAAAAAACCAGTCAGGGTTAGGGCAGAGCTGGGTGGGTGTCTCCAGGCAGGACCCCAAAGCACCAGGCAGCACTCTCTGGATGCAGTGTGGTTCTGTTTCTGCCCAGGTTGAAGCCTCACAGGATGGTGCAGGACCTTCGAGTGTAACCCCCCGGGCTCCAAGCAGTGCTGCCGGGCCCCAGGCCCCTCTGGAGATGAATCTTTGCTGGAACGAGATAAAAAAAAAATCCCACAGCCTTCGGTAAGAGTCCTGCCTGCAGCAGCTCCAGGCTGGCCTGGCCCTCCAGCCTTGCCTGCTGCTTGTGATTGTCAGGAGGTTTTTGAACTTTTTTGCTTGATGAGCCACATGAATTCACAGTGACCTTGGCTCAGCTCCCCCTCTGGTACACAGATGTCCTTTTGCTGGAAAGCATCTCCTCCATTTCTACCCATCCCAACCTCTCCTCCCTCCCCTCCTTCCCTCCTGCTTTCTGCTGCTCTCTCTATCCTCTGCCACCTCTGCAGCTGTCTCTTTTTGCCCCATGGCTTTGCCTGCACCTCCTCTGTGCCCGTCCCTTCACGGGGAGCCATCCCCACTGTGTGAGGGGAACATGCCTTCCAGACCGTCAGAGTCTGCAGCTCCACAGCCAGCATGACAGAGAGCTTAACTGGGGCGTGTTAATTGTCTCCTGCCTTAATCCAAGGCTCCTGGAAGCTGCCCAGACATGTAAATGCCATTCCAAGCCCCCCTTGCTAGCCAGAGCAGTTCTGACCCACAGGCAAGCACAGAATGACTGTCCTCCACTCTGGGCTCCAGGGTGAGGGATGGCTTCACTTTCTTGTCCCCAGTGCCCCCGTGCCTCACCCCACCTGGCAGTGTAGGCTCTCTGCTGGCTGGGGCTGTGCACAGCCCGTGCTGAGCTGTGCTGCCATCCCTGGGGGGGTCCTGGGGCTCAGCCCCCAGCCGTGGTGCTGTGCTTCCCCTGCTCTGGGAACCTGCTCCTCTCCTGTCTGTCTGTCTGTCTGTTGTCTCACTGTCCTTGCTCTCCTGCCAGGGCTCGGCTGGAGGCCTTCTCTGACCACAGTGGGAAGCTGCAGGTGCCTCTGCAGGAGATCATTGACTGGCTGGGGCAGAAGGATGAGGAGCTGTCGGCCCAGCTGCCCCTGCGGGGCGACGTGCTGCTGGTGCAGCAGGAGAAGGAGACACACGCGGTGCGTTCCTGCTGCTGCCCTGCTCCTGCTCCCGGGCTCTGCGTGGGCAGCCCTGCCTCCTGCCACTGCCCTGCACAGCCAGTCCCTCAGGGTCTCCATCTCTGCTCTGAGAAAAGGCAGAGCCTGTCTGGTTTTGGACAACAAACCCACATCACAGCCTCCAGTCACCTGCAGCTGGTGATGAACCCTGTCCTTTGTAGTGGCTTCCCTGTCCTATCTCTCACTGGAAGTAGAGGTAGGACACAGGCTCCAGAATCCTGGGATCCTGGAGCCTGGGAAGGCTGGTCTAGGGGCAGTCCTGTGGCTGGGACATGAGTGATGCCTGCAGGAACGTGTTATCATCATTCCTAAAACTGGGGCACACCCAGGCGGATCAGAGTTTCCTGCTCCCAGGTTCACAGCATTTTCCTCTCACTGCCAGTGGCTGTTGGGCTTTAGTTGTTTTTACCTTGAAAACAAAATTAAGATGTTTGCTGCTGCTGTCCTTCATGCTTGCTGGGTTTCTCTGGTGCACAAACAGCCCATCCAGCAGACAGCACTGGTGTGGGAGCTGCAGTGGAGGGGAGGAGAGGACATACTAGACCAGCGTGCCTCTGAAGCCTTCCCTGGCAGATGTGCTGCTTTGGGGCATCCTGCTGCTCCTCTCCTTGCTCCTGCAGCAGCTGGACCTGTTGCTGAGCAGCTGCTGGAAGGGTTGTTAGCGTGGCCATGCACAAGTGCAGAGCATCTCCAAGCAGTGCCTCTGAAGGCACCATAAATAAAACAGCTCCTGTTGTGCAGCCCTGGCTCAACACTGTTCTGGGCTTGCTGTTCTGCCTGCCCACTCCAGCAAAGCTGCAGGAGCCACCTCCTGCCAGGTGGTCATTCCTTCCCTGAACTACACAAATATTTCCCTTAACACTGACTTCTCTCTGTGCCTCCAGGGAGGTTTGGGCCTTGGGGTGAATAAATCACTGCAGCATTTGGCAAGGGGGCAGCCAGGGCACAGCTTTGTGGCTCAGCCTGCTGTCTCAGCTCTGTGCTCTACTCTGCAGGCTTTCATGGAAGAAGTGAAGTCTCGGGGGCCATACATTTACTCTGTCCTGGAGTCAGCACAGGCTTTCCTTTCCCAGCACCCATTTGAGGAATTAGAAGAACCAAGTTTGGAGAGCAAAGGTCTGTGCAGCTGCCCCCTTTTTGTTCTCTGGTTTCACAGCTCCTCCTGGGCTGGCCCGGACAGGGTGGAGTGGAGGTGGCTGCGGCGGCACAAAGCAGCACATCAGTGCCCTGCCTCACACCTCGGTGCCCAGGCTGTGCCCAGTCCTTGGGCCAAAGCTCACACTGGCACAGAGCAGTGTCACTGTCCAGGAAAAGGCAGAGGCTCCTGGTGCAGTCCATGGTGGGGGCACCTCATGGGGCAGCACCAGATGTGCTCTGGGGCACAGCCTGTGAGGATATAGAGGCTGCACACCTCGAGGAGCTGGTGCAGAGATGGATACTATTATCACTTGTTTTCCTTCCCTTTTCCCAGTTTTCCCTAGATTATTTTATCTGCAATTTCCCTGCTCTCCCTCCACCCCTTGGCCCTCTCTCCTCGGGCTGGGCTCTCATTTTTGCCACGTTCCCCCTGTTTTCCCTCCCCAGATGTGTCTCCGCGGCACCGGATCCAGAACATCCTAGATTATTTTTATCTGCAATTTCCCTGCTCTCCCTCCACCCCTTGGCCCTCTCTCCTCGGGCTGGGCTCTCATTTTTGCTCTGTTTCCCCACTTTCCCTCCCAGATGTGTCTCCGCGGCACCGGATCCAGAACATCAGCCGCTTTGTGTGGAAGCAGGCCAACGTGGCCAGCGAGCTGTGGGAGAAGCTCACGGCCCGCTGCGTGGACCAGCACCGCCACATCGAGCGCACCCTGGAGCAGCTGCTGGAGATTAAAGGGGCCATGGAGGAGCTCAGCACCACCCTGGACCAGGCTGAGAGCGTGCGGGACACCTGGGAGCCCATCGGGGACCTCTTCATCGACTCCTTGCCGGAGCACATCCAGTCCACCAAGGTACGGCTGGCTCGGGGAGGCTCAGCCTTGGCCGTGGAGGTGGTGAGGTGCTCCTGGGATCATCAGCCTCATCAGTGGGATCTCAGGGCCAGGGCCTCCTTCCCACAGCCCCCCTGCTTCGTGAGGGGGGGTTTGGCCAGCAGTGTCCTGAGCAACTGGCCACGCTGAGCACTTTGTCATGGCACAGACCTACACAGGTACAGTGGCTCAGCACTGTCAAGTCATTATCACCTTTTCATTTATCAGCAGTAATCTGCAGATCCCCATTTCATTTATCAGGAGTAATCTGCAGCCCCCATTTAATTTATCAGGAGTAACCTCCCATTTCATTTATCAGGAGTAATCTGCAGCCTAGTTTGTTTGGTTGGGTATTTTTTCCCCAGCCCCCCTGCTTCGTGAGGGGGGGTTTGGCCAGCAGTGTCCTGAGCAACTGGCCACGCTGAGCACTTTGTCATGGCACAGACCTACACAGGTACAGTGGCTCAGCACTGTCAAGTCATTATCACCTTTTCATTTATCAGCAGTAATCTGCAGATCCCCATTTCATTTATCAGGAGTAATCTGCAGCCCCCATTTAATTTATCAGGAGTAACCTCCCATTTCATTTATCAGGAGTAATCTGCAGCCCCCATTTAATTTATCAGGAGTAACCTCCCATTTCATTTATCAGGAGTAATCTGCAGCCTAGTTTGTTTGGTTGGGTATTTTTTCCCCTGCTAAGGTGCCCCGTGGGAGGGTTAGTCAGCTAGTAAGTGGCTTGGTAGTCACGAACCCACCCTAGCTTGTAGCAAAGGAATCACATCCAAGTCCTGGCTACTCACCTGATTCTTTTCCTTCTTCCCCTGCTCTGTGCCTGTGTCCCCTCCCCACTGGACTCAGCTGTTCAAAGAGGAGCTCTCCCCCATGAAGGATGGGGTGAAAGTGGTCAATGATCTTGCACACCAGCTCGCCATCTCAGATGTGCACCTGTGCATGGAGAACTCCCGGACCCTGGAGCAGATCAACACCCGCTGGAAGCAGCTGCAGGTGGGAAGGGGCCAGGAGCAAGCACTGCAGATAAACCCTGGGCAGGAGGGTGCTGGGAAGGGCTGTCACTGCTGACCTTCAGGGATGATAAAGTAAGGTTTGGCTCAGCAGGACGTTGTAGCTGGTGTTCCTGGAAGAGAAGAGCATCAGTTCAGGGTGAAGAAAGAGTCTGGTAAATCTGCAGAGATTTGGTCAGGAGAAGGCAGTGTGAGGAACAAAGGGAGAATCAGGATGTGTTGGAGGGGGTCAGTACCAGCTGTGGCTGCTTTGATGCCTGTGGGAGTGTGGATGCAGGTGAGCTGGAGATGTGGCTGTGCTGCCCCAGGAGGAGGAGGTGTAGAGGGCTTAGCAGGCTGGAGGAGGACACAAACACCAAGACGGGAGAGGAAGGAGGGGCATCTGTGTGCTGGGGCATGTCTGAGTCCACCCACAAGCCTTCCTGAATGGGTCATCAATCCAAAATGCCTGCTGGACTGGCAGTGAGTTATTTTTCAATTCCCCAGGCCTCCATAAACGAACGCCTGAAGCAGCTCCAAGATGCCCACCGGGACTTCGGACCAGGCTCCCAGCACTTCCTCTCCTGTACGTGAGTGGGTCCCCCTGCTTCTGTGTTTTGTTGTGGCACAGCAAAACAGGGTGCAAAGTCCTTTTTCCTGAGGCTGGAAAAGTGCCCAGGCTGGTGCCTGGTGCACGGGAGATGGAGGCATCTCCAAGGCTGGCACTGTGCTGCCTCACCTTTGGGACCAAAGCTGGAGGCATCTCCAAGGCTGGCACTGTGCTGCCTCACCTTTGGGACCAAAGCTGGAGGCATCTCCAAGGCTGGCACTGTGCTGCCTCACCTTTGGGACCAAAGCAGGAGGCATCTCCAAGGCTGGCACTGTGCTGCCTCACCTTTGGGACCGATGTGAGTGTGGTTTCCCTTCAGAGCACGGAGCTGTGACACTCACAGCAGCAGCAGCTCCCAGGGGACACTGGGACTGTGTCAGCCTCAGAGCAAGACAACAGATGGCAGGAAAAGGCAGTCCCTCATAGCCCGTGTTAGTTATTTGGAGGCTAAAAATGTGCCTTTTGGGGAGGTTTTCATTCATGTGGCGAGGCAGAGGGATGCTGTTTTTACAGATCAGAGCTGTTGGCTGACAGCTCTCAGGCCTGCAAAAGCTGGGCAGCAGTTGTGCTCCAGAGCCTGGGGTCCATCCTTGGAAGTGCTGAGCCCTGCACTCTCTGGATGTCAGTGGGATTTGTTGGCCTGTGCTGCTCTGCAGACTGAATACTCCTATCTGAAAGGAAGAATGACTTTTCCAGTTGCTGGAATTGATACTCTACCTGTGAAAAAGGCAAATATCCAAGGGTCATGCCTTGGCTTCCATCCTCTATGCAACACAGGGTGGCAGGCAGCTGGTGTGGGACGAATCCTCATCTTCCCAAGGTACTGCAGCTGGCACACAGAGCAGGAACAACAGATGCTTTGGGTGTCTGAGCCTGGTCATAACAGGCAGTGCTGTGTCTGTGTGCCCAAATCCCATCTGCTATGAGCCCTGCCCACTGGTCACCACAAGGTTGCTTTGGGCATCATCCAAAACATCAGGAAATGTCTCTTCCTGAGTTCTGAGCTCAGCCAGATACAAAGCTCCTGGCTCAAGAGGCAAGATGTCTCTAACAAGACCAGCAGTCTTGAGCCTTTTTTATGGGCAGCATCCCCTTGCCTGCCCCAACACCTCCAGCTGGTGATTTGGGAAGATGCAGCCTTTTCAGAGGCACCCACCTGCTGGCACAGTCCTGCCGTGCCAGGGCTGGCATCAGAAACAGCAGCAGCTTAGGGGAGCATTTGGTGTTGATCTGATTCGTGTTTCTCTCCCTGCAGCCTCTGTCCAGGTCCCCTGGGAGCGAGCCATTTCCCCCAACAAAGTGCCATACTACATCAAGTGAGTGTGCTCCCAGACACAGCCCGAGGTCCTCTCTGGCCTGGAGGGGTCAGGAATTGGGCAGTTAGGAGAGGGGGGCACACTGCAGTGAGAACTCACCTGCAGTGAAGCAGGGCTTCCTCAGCCTGGCAGATCCAGGCTTTCCCTGCCTGCTGGGATCCCAAGATGAGAGGAAACCCCAGCTGGAAGGAGAGGGGCTGGCAGCAAGTGGGGATATCCTGCCGTGGGCATCCTTCATGCTGCTGTGGCTGGGGACTGTGCTCCGGGGCATGCAGCAGTGTCTGCAGACACTGAAACACTTGCTCCCAGCACTAGCCAGGTCCTTTTTTTTGGTGCTTTTTTTAAATTTCTCACTGCAGCTTTTGGTTACCACATTGACTCTTGGTCTCCATCTCTTTTGCTTCCAGCCACCAGGCCCAGACGACGTGCTGGGACCACCCAAAGATGACAGAGTTGTACCAGACGCTGGGTAAGGAGGCTGTCACAGAACCTTTGGAGCAGTACCTGCCTTTTTGGGTGCCTGTGAGATTCCCCAGGCCACCTGCTCCCCTCTGTGCCTCAGGGTCCCCCAAAGCAGCGGGGTGTGACCCCTGCCCGGCTCTGCTCCTCACTGTCCTTCCTGCACGTGCTCTGCTGGGCTCTGAGAGCTGCAGCTGCTGCTTCCTGCCCTGGAGATAAGGAAGTTGTGCTGTGGTTTTATTCTGTTTTCCTGTGTCCCTGCAGCGGATCTGAACAACATCAAGTTCTCGGCGTACCGGACGGCCATGAAGCTGCGGCGGGTGCAAAAAGCCCTTCGATGTGAGTGAGGCACGGGCTCCCTCCTGCTGGCTCCCCCTCAGTGAAGGCTGAAACCAACACAAGCTTTTATCAGCACATCAAAGGCAGCAGGCACCAGGGGATAGGTAGCTGAGGCGAGAAACCAGGAAGATGAGCCTGGGAAGCTGAGCAAATGCACCAGGCTGTGTCAGCGCCTGGGTGGAGGTGACCCAAGGGCAGGTGCTGTCCAAAGGGATGTGAGAACAAAGTGCTCCAGCTCGGGGTTACAAAGCTGCGGCACCAGGCAGGAGCTCACCAAGCAGCTCCAAAGGAGCATGGAGGAGGTGTGGATGTAACTGGGAGATGAAACCAGACTCACTGTCAGGGACAGAGAGGGCTGCACTGCTTAAAGAGGAGGAAGGGAGCTAATAAAGCTGACTTCTGCACTCTTGGTGAAAACTGGAGGATTCGTAGCCAGGTGAATATGATACAACAGGAGTTCACACATCTCTCCAAGAGGTAGCTGCTCCCTGGAAACTGCTGAGGAGTTTCTGGTGGAACTGGCAAGCAGGCAGGTGGGAATCTGATAGATGCAGCGTCCTTGGCTGCTCAGAGCTTTTGACAAAGCTTCTCACCTAAGGCTCTGTCAAAATTAAGCAGCAGGATGAGGGAACTCCTCCTCCTGAAATAATTGTTCATGAAGGGGAGCAGCAGTGGGGCCCAGGCAGAGCTGTGCTCCTTGACATCCTGTGAAAGGGCTGGAAGGAGGCAGTGAGTCAGGGGAAGAGGAGTTTGGGTTCTCAAGGGAGTCACACTCTGGCTGTGGAGTATTTTCATAACACTGTGGTGATCAGGCTGTCCTGTCCCAGGGACATTCAGGGAGGATGCAAAGCAAATGGAAGAAAGCTTTTGCCACCCTGTTAAGGTGTCCATGCAGCAGCAGGCAAGGTGTGGAGAGGAAACAAGGGCGAAGAGCAAAGGAGAACTCTCCGTGTGCTGCTTGTGCATCTTTGGTTGTGCATCTCTTGCACCTCACATGCTGCACTGTCGCCTTCTTTACACTCCAGAAATGACTTGGATAAATGCTCTTTATTCAAGATATACTTGAGAAAAGGGCAAGGAGGTTGCCAAGGCAGCTTTCCCATCATGAGAAGTTTGGTAGAGTGGCTGTGTAGGAAAGAGGCAGTGAGGGATAGATCAGAGCCATATGCAGTCGTGGGCAGTGTGGACACGAGGGTGGGCAGGAGTGATACTCCCTGGCATGGAAACTGGGGCTTCCCAGTGCAAGTGTAGCAGCTTTGACAGGAGAAGGGAGGATTTATCCACAGAGTGAAGTTACAGTGTGGAAAAGGCACACAGTCCCCTGGGTACTGTGAATATTAAAGGTCTCAAAGATGGAAAGACTTTCAGGAAAGAAATATTGCTGGTTGCTAACACAGTAGCACGTACAACCTGCAGCCATAGAAATCTGACAGCTCACACTGTCCTAGCCCTGTTTTGGGTTTGCGCCTTAATTCCCTCAGCCTGTCAGAGCTGGAGACAGGACTGACCCATCTCTGGGCAGTTGCTTGTAGGGTCTGTGTGGGTCTGTGCCCCTCACCTCCCCACACCTACAGTGACCTGACCCCTGCAGAGATGAGGGGCCAGCCCTGGGCTCTGCACAGAGCCCTCCTTGGGGGGCATTTTCATGGCCATGGCTGGACACAGAAATGAGGGAGGAAGGTCACAGAGAATGGTGGCTCAAGGTGGAGATGTGGTATTTTGGGAGAAGCTCACAGGCAGGAGAGAAATTCTAGCAGCTGCACCCATCCTTTCCAGCATCTTTCCCAACACAGTGGGACTAACACTGCCCCAGGCTAGGGCAGGACAGCATCTCCCTCCTCTTGCTTCTCACCTCTCTCATTTCCCCTCTGCTCCCTCTGCCTGTGCTTTCTGTGCAGTGGACATGGTCACCTTGGGCACGGCTTTGGAAATCTTCAACGAGCACGACCTGCAGCCCGGGGACCGGGCGATGGACGTGGTGGAGGTGATCCACTGCCTGACCGCCCTGTACGAGCGGCTGGAGGAGGAGCGCGGCATCCTGGTCAACGTGCCCCTCTGCGTGGACATGAGCCTCAACTGGCTGCTGAACGTCTTCGACAGGTACCTCTGGGTGTCCCCTGAGCTGTGGGGCTGCCAGGCCTGGGAGGAAACCCCTGTGTGGCATTTATGTTCTCTGAAAAATCCCTTTGCTCAGGATTTTTCTCCTGGGAAGCGAGAAGCCTCAGAGAAAAAAAACCCCAACAATTATTACCTCATTTGCTTCTCCTGTGTTTTGCTCCTTTGGAGTATGTTTGGAGATTGTTTACCCACAGGTGGTTGTTTCATTGGATTTCTGGTATGAGTTGTTTTCACTCTTTGGCCAATCAGGGCCAAGCTGTGTCAGGACCTTGGAGAGAGTCACGAGTTTTCATTATTATCTTTTTGGCATTGAGTAAGAATACTTTCTGTATTCTTTAGTATAGCTTAGTATAGTATTCTTTAATATAATATAGTACCATAAAATAATAAATTAGCCTTCTGAGCACATGGAGTCAGATGCATCATTCCTCCCTGCCATGAGAGTCCCTGCAAATAAAATACCCCCGTGCTGCTCTTCCAGCTGGCAGTGCTGCACAAAGGTTCTGGCTGCCAGCGAGGGAGGCTGCCTGCTGTGTGCTTGCCTTGATGACCCCCCTGCCAAAAAACCCCACTCTGGAGCATTAGCAGACCTGTGCAATGTCTTGTCCTGCAGTGGCCGCAGCGGGAAGATGAGGGCTCTCTCCTTCAAGACGGGCATCGCGTGTCTGTGCGGGACAGAGGTCAAGGAGAAGTTCCAGTGTGAGTCCCTTGTCTGCCTCCCCTAGAACCTGCTGTGAATTCACCTCAGGAAAACAGGAGTGGTTTTGTTTCCTGGCTTAGACCCTTTTTGCCCAGGAAGAGCACAGACAGCTTTCCTGCAGTGACTAAGCTGCTTGCATCATCACCTCTCCCTCCCTCCCCAGGCCTACGCCACCAAAATTAGGAGGTGTTTCTGTAGAGTGACTGGTGCTGCAGTGATCTTGCTGCATGGCACTGTAAGGAACAGTGCAGAGAAGGCACACAGGAAAGTTATCCAGTGCTTTCCATTAGGAAAATACCAGGGGGTGCATGGCTGGGGGAAGTAGGTTTCAGGCAATTTGCTTTCCTCACTGCATTTTAACCATGGAATATTGTGGAGGGGAATCTTGTGTAGCACAGGGAGCACCAAGGGGTTAAACGAAGGGATTAGGCTGATTCATAGAGGACAGGCTAGCTGGGGCTGTTTAATAAATGATGTATGTAACCCCTGTCCAAAGACACTAAACTGGTTGTTAGGAGCTGGAAGGACACTGGTAAAAGTAATTTAATCATAGCTCAGGTTTTTACTCATATTTGAGCTCTGTGCTGGGGGTGGGCAGTGGTGTCCCTGGTGTCCCCACACTCCTGCCCTTTGCTGGCTCTCAGCTGTGTCTGTTCTAGGGGTGATCAGTGGGGTCTCTGATGTCCCCACACCCTGCTCCCTGTGCCCTTTGCTGGCTGTCAGCTGTGTCTGTATTAGAGGGTGGGCAGTGGTGTCCCTGGTGTCCCCACACTCCTGCCCTTTGCTGGCTCTCAGCTGTGTGTGTGTGCCTGCAGATCTCTTCAGCCAGGTGGCCAACGCCGGGGGCCTGTGTGACCAGCGGCACCTGGGCGTCCTGCTCCACGAGGCCATCCAGGTGCCTCGCCAGCTGGGGGAGGTGGCAGCGTTCGGGGGCAGCAACGTGGAGCCCAGCATCCGCAGCTGCTTCCGCTTTGTGAGTGCGGGGCCACGGCACTCACACTGTGTCTGTGCTGGGGACAGGCTCCCCGGCTGGCAGGGGGGCTGCTCCCCACGGCAGCCAGCTCCCAGCTCTGAGCAGCCCCTGCCTGTCCCCCCAGAGTAACGGGAAGTCTGCCATCGAGGCGTCCCAGTTCCTGGAGTGGGCCAACCTGGAGCCGCAGTCCATGGTGTGGCTGGCCGTGCTGCACCGGGTGACCATGGCCGAGCAGGTGAAGCACCAGACCAAGTGCTCCGTGTGCCGGCAGTGCCCCATCAAGGGCTTCAGGTGAGGGCTGTGGCACGGGACCTCGGCCCCAGGGGAGAGTGTGCTGTCCTGCAGGACAGGGCTGAGCTGCTCTGTGCTCCTGGGGGAGCCTGGAGCTCTGCAGCCAGCAGTGTTCCTGGCAGGGCAGAGCAGGTGCCAGCCAAGGGGAAGGAGCAGAGCGCCTTCCTGGGGAGTGCAGCCATCAGCACTGTGGGTTCACTGGGGTGTTAGAGCGACACAGGCCACCTCTGTCCCCTCCCACTGACACCTTCTTGGGCTTTAAACACGTGTTTTGATGACTTCCAGTACTTCCCTGGACCTCCCCAGGTATCGGAGCCTGAAGCAGTTCAATGTGGATATCTGCCAGACCTGCTTCCTCACGGGGAGAGCCAGCAAGGGCAACAAGCTGCACTACCCCATCATGGAGTACTACACCCCGGTACAGGGCTGGGCTGGGCTGGGGGGGCCCTGGTGCAGAGCAGGGCCCACTGGTGGCAGCAGCCTTGTGGTGTTGAGGCTGGTGCAGCCCCACAGGTGGATCCCTTGTGTAGTTTTGTACCCTGTGCACGCTGTGTCCCTGTCCTGGGGCTCGTGATGAGGAGGATGCATGGCCCCAGTGCCCAGCCTGGCCTGTGCCAGGCCCCCTGGCAGGCTCACAGAGCTGCTGTGTTCCCTCCTTGCTTCCTCAGTTCTATCTGCCCTTCCCCCATGGAGCTCATGCCCAGCCTGAGGGGATATCTTACTGAGGGTGCTGAGCTGTGGTCCCCCACTCTTCACCAAACAGGCGCCTGTGTCCCATTTGTGTCTCTGCAGACCACATCCAGTGAGAACATGAGAGACTTTGCCACGACACTGAAGAACAAGTTCCGCTCCAAGCAGTACTTCAGCAAGCACCCACAGAGAGGCTACCTGCCCGTCCAGTCTGTGCTCGAGGCTGACTTCTCTGAGACGTGAGTTGCAGGGCCCTGGGTTATGTCTTTGGGCCCAGAATGAGACATGAGCTCTGTGGATGGGAAGAGCATCTCAGCTCATGCAGGGCTCCTGGGGGAGGGCTGGAGGAGCACTTGCTCGGGGGTGATATGCCACCTTGTTCTTGAAGGAACAGAGATCTCAGTCTCTGTGTCCAGCCCCTCCCTGGCTCTTCCCAGCCAGGTGGGGTCAGTCTGTGCCCAGCTTCTGACCAGTGTGCATCTCTTGCAGCCCAGCCTCGTCCCCGATGTTGCCACACGCTGACACACACTCCAGGATCGAGCACTTTGCCAGCAGGTACCCGCATGGGCTCTGCTGTCCTGCAGGGGCACAGAGCACCACCCTGCTGGGTGTGGGAGGCTTTGGGGCACACAGATGCTCACAGACCCCTCCACCTGCCCCAGCACTCTGCACAGCCAGGCAAACCTGCCTGGGACGTGGTGGTGCTGTGTAAATTGGCAGCAAACACCTCACAGCAGGTGTCTCACCATGCAGCAGCCTCCATGGGCTGTCCTGCTCTCCCCAGGATGAGCTGCTGGATGGGCTCTCAGCAGGCACATCCCTTGGTGTCTTGTTCTGCTCTGTGTCCTCACCAGAGCTGTTTGCCAGCTTCCCACTGCTGCTGCCTTGGGGTTTGTGCTGCCTCTGTCCTGGCTGTGGGGACTCGGGGGTTACAGGGAGCTGTACTTGTAGCTCAGGTCCTAGGCTGGACATGAATTCTTACATCCCATTCCTTTGCTTGTGAGAGAGGAGGCTGAGCCAACTGCACAGCAGCAGCTCTTTATTCCAGAGACTTGTACCAGAGCAGCAGTGTATTTTGGTTTTTAAAAAGGCAAAACTCTCTAGAGCCTGTGCAGGACAGATTGGTGCAGGCCAGGTGGGAAGCCCTGCAGAGAGGGTCTTGCAGGGCCTGCTGCAAGTAGCTGAGCAAACATTTAGGGTGTCTCTGACCATATCTCAACCTTTTTCTCTTCCCTCCAGGCTTGCAGAGATGGAAAGCCAGAACTGTTCCTTCTTCAGTGATAGCCTGTCCCCCGATGACAGCCTGTGAGTTCTCCTTTCCCTTCTCCTTACCTCCTGATGGGTCAGGGCTCCTGTGGCTCTATCCATGCCTAGCCAGGGTACAGAAATGCTTTCGTTCCCAGTCCCATCGAGTGAGAGGCTCTTGGGCACCCCCAACAACAAACATCAGGGATGCTGAGCCCCTTTCTGAGCTCTGGAGCAGCCAGGAGCTCCCCTGTGAAACTGCCTCCCTCGTGCTGTCCTTCCCCAAGGGCACACAAACCCCCTGATTTTCCTCATGAAGGTGTTTCTCCTCCTGCTGGAACAGGGATGAGGACCAGTACCTGCTGCGCCATTCCAGCCCCATCACAGACAGAGAGCCTGGGGGCAGCCAGCAGCTTCCAGGAGGCCTCAACATGGACAACAAGGGAGAGCTGGAGAGAGTCCTGGCCCACTTGGAGGATGAAAACAGGTAGAGACATGGGCAGCCCTGAAAGTGGGGGTTGTAGACTGAGACAGGGGAAGGGACTGGAGAAGCCTTGCAGAGCTCAGAGTGCAGGCAGGGGATGCTGCTGGGTCTGGAGGTGGGGATTGCAGGTGCTGAGAGGGCAGTTTTGGAGGGTGGCTAAGCTGAGCACTAAAACTCAGTGAGAGTCTGCTCTCAAGGAAAGGAGAAGACTCTGCTCCCCAAAACATTCCTTCCTACATCTACAGAACCTGCTCCCTCCTGAACTCCAAATGTGTTCACGTGGGCCCAGGGCACTCTGTCTTGTCCCTGAGCCCCTCATGAACAGTGGTATTGCTGCTGTGGACCAGGGTGAGGCTCTAGGCAGGGCACACCAGCTCAGGAGGAGCTGATGCTTTCCCTGCCCTTGTTTTCAGCCTCTTGGGAAGTGGTTGCATATCTGTGAACCCCGTGTGTGGGGCAGAACCACAGACAGGCCACTCTGCAGTGCAGCATCCTGGCCCTGAGGCTTCACAAATGGCAAAGCTTTTCTGAGTCGTGGCCACGCCCAGCGTGCAGCTCCCGGGGGCTTCCAGCAGCCTCTAGGCAGGATGGAGGGGGTGCTGACCTGGGCTGTCCTGCAGGATCCTCCAGGGAGAGCTGAGACGTTTGAAATGGCAGCATGACGAGGCAGTGGAGTCTCCAAGCTTGGCCACAGGCTCTCCTGAGTCAGTGCAGGACCCACGTAACGAGGAGCTGCTGGCAGAAGCACGGATCCTCCGGCAGCACAAGAGCCGCCTGGAGACACGGATGCAGATCCTGGAGGACCACAACAAGCAGCTGGAGTCACAGCTGCACAGGCTGAGGGAGCTGCTGCTGCAGGTGTGCTCAGAGCAAGGCTGGTGTGGGCTGTGCCACAGCAGAGCTGGGACAGTGGCACGGAGGGGACGGGCAGAGAAGGGGAAGCCAAGGACAGAGGGTCATGACAACCTTCTCACAACAACTCTTCTCGCTCCAGCCTCCAGCAGAGTCAGAAGGCAATGGTTCAGCAGCCTCCTCCTTGGCTTCATCTCCACATCAGTCAGAAAGCAGCCAGGCAAAGGAGAAAGAGCACAACACCCCTGACACTGAAACTGCAGGTGAGCTTTGTGCTGGGGCTGAGCTCCCAGCCCTGCTCCCTTGCTCCCGTGCTGCAGGAAGCTGCCTGCACCCTGCCATCCTGCAGGGATGCTGGCAGCCAGGTGGATGCCCAGAGAGCCTTTTCCTACCCAGCTGCCCTCCTTGCCCCTGCAGATGAGGTGGAAGCCAAAACCCAGGAAGTCAGCATGTGCCTGGAAGACATCATGGAGAAGCTGCGGAGCGCCTTCCCCAGCTCCCGAGGTACTTGAGTGAAATCCTCCTCTCTCTCCTTGCTGCTCCACCAGGTGAGGCTTGCCCCACAGAGCCCTGCCCCAGTCCCAGCTTCCCTGCAGCAGCTGATGACCTGCAGTGCTTCAGCCAAGAGCTTTGCTGCGGCAGTGCTGCTGGGACGGGTGTGTGGCCTGGCAGCTGAGGAGGAGGAGGAGGCTTCACAGCTGCAAGGAGAGGCCATCAGAGCTGCCAAGAGCACAGACCAAACAGATCCCTGTGATGAGCTGCAAGGCAGCCTCTGCCCTGCTCAGGACCTGCACCCCACGGGGCTCCCACCGTGAGGATGGACAGACCTGCCAGCACCACCAGCTTTGAGCCCCTCCTGCCTTCCTCCCTGCCCAGACCCCTCTGCAGGAGAGGTCATGGCCCCAGAGGCCTGTGAGATGGAGGCAATGGTGCAGGCTCTCCTGGCTGCTCGTGGACAGCTCTCCCCAGCGGGGATGGAGGGCACTCCTCTCAGTGGGTTTTGGTCTTGGTCATTCTGTTCCTTCCCTCTGTGCTCAGTGCAGGGGCAGCACTTGGTCTCTTGCCCAGGCTGCCAGAGGGAGACATTGCTTGGTGCCAGCACTAACACGAGGTGGTGTGTGCCCATGCAGACTCTTGCCCACTTTCTGCCATCCCTGAGCAGGATCCTCCTGGCTCTGCAGCAGCCCCCTTCTAACCAGGTGGCTCTGGGTCCTGTTTTCCTGACCTGTCTATTTCTCTTTCAGGTATGACCTCCCTTATCTAACACCTCCTGTGAGCCAGAGGCTTTTCCTAACCAGCTACCTGGCTGCTTTCCTCCCCTCTGTCCCTGCCATGCTCCCTGTGCTGCAGCAGACCTCACACAGACTCCCTCAGAGCTGGTGGTGCAGGATGCTTGCCAGCTCCAGAAGATCTCAGGGGAACATAGGTCATGCAGGGGTGGGACTGTGGGCTCCCCAGGAGGCTGGTTTGGTCACTGGCCACAGTGTCCAAGCCTGGGTGGGATGGTTGAGAAGAAAGAACTGAAGCCATGAAAACTGCCAGTCTCCCCTGGTACCCAGGGGCTGCTGCCTTTGCCTGTAGCCCTCGGGGGATGCAGAGCTCAGCATCCCACTCTTCAGCTGTGCCCGCGAGCCTCCAGGTCTATGGGCACCAAAACACTCCTGGAGCCACACAATTTTTAAAATAACTCTTTATAACAGTGACCAGCTGCCAGCCTTATGTTTGAACTCTGCCACCCCAGGCTCTGCAGCCAGCCAGGCACACACCACCAGGAGACAGTCTGTGAGGTTTATGGAGTAGGGATTGAGTCCATGTTAGAGCTTCAGCCCAGCTAGTAGCCTTATATTGAGAGGGTCTTTATAACAGAGCCTTATTGTTTAATTTGCATATATTTCTATATATTATATATATATACTGTACTTAAATGCTCTCATGGACTCACTCTATTAAACTCTAATACCTTAAGTGTAGCTGCCCTTCACTCCCAGCCCAGCCCAGGGGAAGCAGCACCTTCCCTGCTGCTGGTGCTGCCTTGCAGGGCTGCTGTGAGGGAGCTCACAGAGGCTGGGCCCCCAGCAGCTCCTTCACCCTGCCTGCTGTCCTGGCCATCTGTGCCGTGGCAGAGCCTGCACAGAGCCAGCTCCGTGCCTGGGGAGCCCCAGCTCCTGCAGGGAGGGTTTCCCCAGCCCTGAGCCCACCCTGGTGTGGTGCAAGTGCCTGGCAGTGCGGGTGGCAGCAGGACAGGCAGGACAGCTCCTGCTGTCCCCAGGAGCTGGGGCTGGGGCAGTGCAGGGGGCTGCCAGGGCAGCCTGGGCTGCCTCCTGCACCCAGGGTCCCGCGGGCTGGCTGTCTTGGGCTGAGTTATGTCGAGAGAGGCAGAGTCAGGTGCTGCAGGGTGGCCCAGAGCCGGGGCTGCCATGGCCCTGCTGCTCTTGGGCCAGAGGGTGTGGGGAGAGGAGAGGCTGGAGCCCTCGGGCAGGGCAGGGCTGTGCAGCGGGGTGAGATCCCAGTTAGCAGGGTGAGACACCCCAGTTAGAGGGGTGAGATCCCAGTTAGAGGGGTGAGACACCCCAGTTAGCGGGGTGAGACACCCCAGGTAGTGGGGTGAGATCCCAGTTAGCAGGGTGAGACACCCCAGTTAGAGGGGTGAGATCCCAGTTAGAGGGGTGAGACACCCCAGGTAGTGGGGTGAGATCCCAGTTAGCAGGGTGAGATCCCAGTTAGCGGGGCTGGCAGGGACAGGGCCAGGCTGCTGCTGCTGCCTGGGGTGGGACACGGGCTGAGCTGCCCGGGACCTTGTGAGCAGGGCTCTGGGCTGGCTCTGGGCTGGCAGAGGTGAGGAGCAGTGCCCACGCCAGGGACAGGCGCTGTGAGCCTTACAGCCATTGCTGTTCAGCGTGTAGTGCTCCAGTGCGGGTGGCTGTCCTTGCTGTCCCCTGTGCCGGCCAGGTGAGTGGCAGGAGGGCAGTGTGGTGGCATTAGGGTGGCTTTGGGCATGCTGTGTCAGGCTGTGGGTGAGAGGGAGCCCGGGCCAGCCTGTGAGACCCAGCTGGAGCCCTCTGCTCTCCCAGGGGCAGGGTGGGAGCAGCGTGGGGAGCAGCAGGGTGAGGCTTGGCCTGAGGGTGTGGTCAGGAGTATCCAGACCTGGGGGGCACTGGAGGAAGGAAAAGGGCAGGATTCTCTGGGAGCAGGGCTGCTGGCCCCAGGGGCAGGTGTGGGGAGCAGAGGTGGCCAGGCTGGGTGCTTGGGCTGTGTTTGGGAGCCAGGATGTGTCAGGGAGGGGAGCAGGCTGGCTAATGCTCTGGTAACCATGTACTCTGGTGCTGCTGTCCTCACTGCTTTGTGGCATCTCTGCTCTGGAAAGAGAATAAATTTGTATTTATACTGATTCCTGGACGGTGCTCTGGCCTCTTCTCTCCGTGTGTCTCTGCTGAGCCAGCCCCCGTGGCTGTGCCATGCTGCCACTGCTCCTGCACTGGGGACAGCCTGCACTGTCACCCTGGCTGCCCACAGCACTTGAGGCAGAGCAGGAGCTGTGAGCAGAGCCCCAGGATCCCCAGACACAGCGTGTCCCCCAGCCACCATCCTCATCCTCTTCCAGGTCTGTCCAGGCCATGTGTCTGCTGGGGGGTGGGACAGGGGCTCTGTGGGGACAGTCCCCATTCCCCCAGGAACTTCGGCTGTGGGAAACCCTTCTGCCCCAGGCAGGAGGCAGACAGCAGTGGGGTGCTGGGTGGGCAAGGCTGTCCTCTCCCTCCTTTCTCCCTGGAGACCCAGGAAGTTTTCAGTGCCCAGAGGTGTCTGGGTGCCCCAGCCCCGAGTGCTGCCCGTGTTTGCTGTGCCTGTGTGGCACAGTAAGGGATTCAGAGAGGAATAGTTCAGGGTGAGGCCAGGGGCTCTCGGGCTCTCTCCCCTGCCCAGACTTGGCTGATGGTGAAGCCTGCCCAGGACAGAGCTTTTGGGCTGGAGCTGCTCTCACCCTGCCTGGCAGGGCTGGCAGCGCTGGGCAAGGCCTGACACGGTGCCACTGCAGGGCAGGCTGGGGACACTCCCACAGGAGAGATTCAGGAGCTTAGGGGATGAAATGCAGCCTCCTTGACTGCAGAGGAGCAGCACAACCTGCCCCATGCGTGTGCCACGGGCTCAGGGCGAGGCAGGAGCTGTGGGATGTGCTCAGGGAAGCTGCTCACGCTCAGCAACAAATCCAGCCCACGGTGCCAGGGAAGAGCTTTTATTTCTCAGCCAGCAGAGCTCGGTGGCACCCAGCTGAAAGGCGCTGGAGCCGCTGAGTCGGGCAGGGCGTGCCCGGCGGTGGCAGGGTCAGGACAGCATTGTTCCCGTGTCACTGCTGGGCCAGTCCCCGGCCCCGGGGCTCCTCTCCGGGTACAGGAGCCCTGCTGCCTCTGCTGTGCCTTTGTCAGTGGCCTGGCAGCTGTCCCCCCGGGCAGGGATGCTGGCCCTGCTCAGGGCTGGGCACTGCCCTGCTCTTTGCTGCACTGCTCCAGGGGTGCAGCACCCCCTTCTCTGGCTGTGATGGGGCACGGGGGTATTTCTGCCCCTCCACTCAGCTCCTCGCCTTCCCCAGGGCTGAAGCTCTCTGGGGGCATGCTGCCTTCCCCAGCATTTTCTTGTCCCCTGCCTGCTCCCTGCTCCCTGCAGCTCACCTCTCCCAGAGCCTCCCCAGATGTTTTATCCTCCAGCCCTGGGGTGCCCTCGCTGGGAGGCCCCAGATGTGGGGCTCTCTTTGGCTGAGCCTGGGCCCCACTGCCTGTGCCAGCTCCCTCAGCTCTGCTGGCTCCTTGCCCCACGCCCTGCAGTAGCCCAGCTGCCTTTGTCTCCCCTGTTGTCCCACATTGCCCAGCTTCAGGCTGTTCCATTTTTGCTGGTAGACACTCTTTCTCTTTGTCCTTCTCCTCTTTTCCTTTCACTACTGCCTCCTCCTCCCTCTCTTTTTCTTTGTTTTCTTCTTCCTTCTCTACTTCTTCACCCTCTTTTAATTTCTCATCTTCTTTCTCTGCTCTCCTCTCCATCTTCTCTCCCCCCTCCACTTTGTCTTCCTTTTCTTTCTTGTCTACCTCCTCCTTCTCCTCCTCCAATTTTCCATCTTCTTCCTCTGCCCCCCTCTCTACCTTTACCTCTTTGCTCTCCTCTTTTTCTTCCTCTTTCTTCTCCTCTTCCCCCTCCTCTTCTTCCTCTTTCCCCTCCTCCTTTTTCTCATCTCCCTCCTCTGTTCCCAGGCTCTCTGGCTTTGCCCCACAGCTGCCCAGGTTTTCTTCCTTCCCCACTGCTGTGTGATCCCTCCTTTCCACCTCTTCTCCCACAGGCTCTCCCCGGGCTTCTTCTCCTCCTGGTGCCCCTTCACCCCCAGCCCTGGGGGTCCCTTGTTCTGCCTGGGGAGCCCTGGGCTGTGCTGTGGCTCCGGTCTCAGCACCCTGCTCCCCCTGCCCGGGGCTCTCCCGGACCCCAGCCGCCCCCTGAGGTGCCCCATCACCCACCTCCCTGCTCTCACGGCCCTTCACACCCTGGGATGACTGGAAGAGGCCCTGGTAGCGCTTCCGATCCTCCACGTGCTTCTTCCTCATCCTCTCCCCCAGCTGCTTCAGCTCCTTCTTCACCGCGGCCGCCATGGAGGGGTCGAGGTGAGCCACGCGCTGGAAGTCCTCCCGTGCCTCCCTCTCGTTCCAGACAGCAGCGTGGGCCTTTGCCCGCTTGAAATAGGCCTTGGCATTGTCTGCCAGGAGAGAAGAGCCCTCAGAGGGCGTCCTGCAGCTCAGGGCCACCAGCCACAGGAGCTGGAGACCTGGGGACCAGGGGACATCAAGCACATGTGGGGTGTGGGGTGAACAAACCTGCAGGGAGGGCAGGGACACCTGGGCTGTGCAGTGCCAATGTGGGCAGCAGGGCACAGGGAGTGCAGGGATCATTGTGGGAAGGATGGTGGTGGGTAGGGGCAAACTGGGACACAGGGATCCAGATGACACAGGCACTATCACAGCCAGAGGGACACAGGATGAGCATTGTCACAGGTGGGGGATTCAGAGGATGGAGTCCCTGGGAGCCATGGGCACAGCAGGGGTGGGATGCAGGGCACAGGTACCATTGTGCTTCTGGAGAAGCTCCGTGGTGTGCTCCAGCACCTCGTAGTACTCGCCGAGCTCCAGCTGGCACTGGCAGTAGTTGAGCACCAGCGGCGTGACCAGGCTCTCCAGCTTCAGCCAGCCATCCTCCCACGGCTTCTCCTGCCCCCCGAGCAACCAGGGCAGCTCACGGCTGTGTCCATCCCCTCCCAGGCACCGAGGCACACGGGGAAGGGCTTTGAGGTGTGGCCAGGCAGGGCTGGGGAGGTGTGGGTGCTGCTCACCTTGGCCTGGAGGTTCCTGAGGCAGATGACAGCCTCCTGGTACTTGGCGGCCGCCTGCGCGAACTCCCTGCGCAGCACCAGCCGGTTGCCCTCGCTGTGCAGCACGGGCACTGCTGCCAGCTTCTCCTCCTTGCTCATGGCCCAGGTGTCACGTTTGTACGCTGAGGGGTCCTCCACCTGCCCAGGCAGGAGGGGCTGAGTGGCTGTCCCGCTGTTCCCGCTCCGGCAGCCATCCCCAGCGCGCCCTTACCCGGAACAGCTCCATGATGAAGATGAGGGGCTGGGGCGTCCGCTGCAGCTCGTCCAGGTCCTCGTAGCCCGTGCTGTGGTAGTCAAACATGTTGCCCATGCCACAGCGGTGCTTCTGCCCTTCCAGGGGGTCCCGGCCCTCCGCGATCCTCCGCATGCCCCTGGACACCAGGGCGTACATGCCTGTGTGCTGCAAGGAGGGAGCACCCTGCTCAGCCCTGGGGGGCTGCACCCCCTTGTCAGGGCAGCCCCCCCAGTGCTGAGGCCAAGTGACAGGCTGTGTTTGCACCAGACAAGGCCAGAGCATCTCTGGGATGCGTGGCTGTGTGTCCTGGCTGTGCAGGAAGGAGGGAAGTGGGCATCTCTGGGCCCCTCACTCACAATGGCGTCGCACCAGAACTCCGCCACCTCCCCAATCCTCATGGAGCTGAGCAGCGTCTCCCAGATCTCCAGCTTGAACATCTTGCCCACGATGATCTCCATGGGCATGCCGGCTTCCCGGCTGTCATCGATCACCGTCCGCTCAAAGTCATCCTTCAGCGTCTGGAAGTGGAAGGTGAACTGGCCCAGAGAGGGCCCAGGGGTGAGACCCCCCTTGGCAGCCACCACGACCTCAGCTGTGGGGTCAAGCCTGCTCCCAGCACTGTGCTGGTCTGACTGGCAGCTCTCCCTCCACAGCAGATTGTGCCTCTTGCCTGCTTGAGACAGCAAGCAGATGGTGGAATGTCCTAACATCCATCCATGCTGTAGCTCCCTTCTCCATCTGGGTCCCCTTTATGGCCCCGTGCAGAGAGAGCTCTCACAGTGTGCCCCAGGGCCTGGTGGAACCCACAGTGATCAGAGGCTGGGGAATCTCCCAGGAATAACCCATTGGCACATGGCAGGAAAGACAGATTTCAGCAACCCACCGAGGCTGCTGAGCTCTGAGGGTGCCAGGGGGAGGGGGCGTCCCAGGCCCACTGCAAGGTGAGGCTGTGGGCACTGCCAGATGTCACTGTGAGAAATGTGGCTGCCTGTGCCCAAGCCAGCCCCTCCTGCACCCCTGGGAGGGCTCTCACTCTTCCCAGACCTGGAGCTGGGCTCGTGAACCATAATGGGCAGGGATGTCAGACCCACTCCCTCTCCCAGGGCTCTGGAGGAACAACCCAGACCATTTACCTTGCTCCCATCCTGCAACTTCGGCAGTTCCCCTTGGCCTCCATGCAGAATCTTCTTTCTGACCCCTTCCACATTCAGCAGGTAGGTTTCTTCCATGGCTGCTCACAGGTCACACGCACCCCAGTACACTCTGGCCCTTCTGGAGCTCCACGTCTTCCTTAGGTGTCTCTTTCTGGATTATCTGGACATACACATCTTCCAGGGCTCCTGCTGCCCTTTTCCTTTCTGTGCTGGGGCAGAGCCTTCTTCCCTGCCCTTGGGTTGTGAGGGGTGTCCCTTCCTAGCACACACTTGCTGAAGCCCCTGGTGTCCTCTGTTGCTTTCTGTAACCGCCCTTCTAATCCTCTTCCCACCCTGTCAGGTTAATCTGGGATTTGCCTGCATAGTCTGTGAGGAATTACAGGAACTCCCTGATCAGGAGGGCCTCGTTCCTCCCACTGAGTGCCAGCACTTTTGACCCAGCTCCACGAAGAGCACTTTGGGGAAGGAGCCCAGCAGTGTCCCACCAAAGGTGCCCAGGCATGGCTCCCTGCCAGGGGCTGTGTGGGTGGGAGACCACAAAGGAGCAGACCAGGGCTGAAAGGGAAACTTTATTGAGTTGGGTTTGCAGATATAAGCACTCAAACACAAGAACAAACTCTTACCAGGCGACAGCCCACCAAACCCAAGATTCAGTAAGATGCAGAAACCAGCACCGTGCTGTCCTGGGAGGCCAGTGCTGACTCTTGACAGTAAATCTGTTGTTTTGGCTGCTCTCACAGGCATAGTCCAATTCTTTAGCTCCAGCAGCCAAACCCAGCACAGTGGATGTGCAATCAGCTCTGGACATGGACCCTGTAGCACTGCCCAGCAGCACATGGCAGCAGCAGTGTGTGACTAAAGTGAGGACTCAGTGTGGCAGGTGACCACCACTCCCAGCTCTGCTCACAGACCCAGGCCCACTGCTCACTTCTCCATGAGGGACTCCAGCTGCTCCTGCAGGGATGCCATCTGGGAAGAGAGAGAGATGTTACAGTAAGGCACCTCTGGGACCCCAGGCAGCCCCAGCAGTTTTGTTCTTGCACATCTTCTACCCACACCAGTGGCTGCTCTCCCTGGGTGCTGCCTGGAGCTGTGCTTGGGCTCCTCTGGGACAGGACTGGCACTGCCCACAGGGATCTGAGAGGGAGAACCTCCTGCCTTGGTACCAGGCTGGAACAGAGCTGCCCAGGCAGGAAATCTGCCACAACCCTCCAGCCACTGCCTTCCTTCTACAGGGGTGCTAACAGCTTTGTGTGCTGTGTTTTACCCCAGGCAGCAATCCTGAGAGCTCTGGACTGCTGACTGGGCATGGTTTGGCTCCTCCAGAAGGTGGGCTGCAGTCAACCCTACTCCTTGTATCTCCTTCTGCCTTGGGAAGCTCCATGCAAGTACAGATACACCCCCACCTGAGGTACACATGCACCCCCACCTGAGGTGCAACCTGGAGTTCAGAGCAGCTGCTGTGCTAGAAGACTCAGGGAACTCTGCCAGACCAAGCCTAGAGCAGTGTTGTGCCCCAGTACCTCCCACTCCACTGTGGGAGTTTCCTCACCTGCTGCTTCTCTCGCTCTTCTTGCTGCTTGAACTCATCCAGCACGGCCTGGAGACGGGTCTGCAGACACAAAAAAGGAGACCACAGCTACCAGTGTGCTCTCAGCAGAATGGTGCTGCTACCACACGTCACATGGTGCAGTGACAACCACCCCCCAGTCTCCTCCAGTTTCACAGATTACTTTGCCTCCACAGGGAAACGCTGGAGTGTGTATGGCCACATTACAACTATTTTTAACCCAGCAGGCAAAGGCTCCTGGCTTCTCCAAATCAGCCTGCTGGATCTAATGGCAAGCCAGTGTTAAGCAGGTTTGAAGAGACCCCAGGAGAGCTCTCACCTTGAGGGCAAGGTTCTCCACTTTCATGATGAGATCTTCCTGGCGCTTCCTCCTGTCTTGAGTCTCTTGGAGTTTGCTTTTCAGGTTGTCAATCTGTTTCTGGATGCCCATGGCTGGAAGGGAGAGTGAGCTCAGGCCCAGAGCAGCAACAGAGCTGGGAAGCACAGCCTGCCCAGCATCCCAACAATTCTGCCATGCTCTGCTGGCCACTCACCAATCTGGTTGGACCCCTCATTCTCCTGCTGCTGCCCATCAGACTCATTCAGCTTGTCCTGCAGTTGTCTCTCCAAGTCTTCCTCAGTGTCCATGATGTTCAGGTCTTCATCATCATGATGATCCCTCTCATCTTCATCCTCGCTGCTGCTGCTGATGTCATTAAATATCTCCCGCAGCTCATCGTGTTCTAGTTGGGGGCAAAAGAGTTAAAACACAGCTGATGACCTGCCAGTGCCCTTTGCCTGCCAGGGACTACACCTAGAAATAAAACAGCCTTCCCCACTGCACCTGAGGAGCCATGGCCTTGCTTATGCCCCGACATCCCTGGGGAGGAGATGTCCAGGCTGGTGAGTGACCCATGGTTGTCCACTTCTTTTGTTTCATCTTCAGCAATGACTTCCCAGCCTGAAGCAGGAACAGGTGAGTCAAGGGAAAAAGAGGAACTTGGAAGATGCAGTTGTGATGGAAGAGGCTAAAAATGGCAGATCACTGCCACTCCAACCAGTGTGGCCTTGTACCTATAGATCCCCAGGATGAAACATCCCAGACCTCTTTTCTAATGACTTCTCCACTATTTCAGTTCCTTCTCACTACAACAGCACAGTCCACAAGAAAGGTCACCCTGAGGAAACAATTAACTTTGAACAAGGCAAAGATGAAGCTCCAAAACTTCGGTGCCTCTTGTGTGTTTATGTCCCAGTGTCCCACACCCATGCACAGCTCAGCTTGCTCCTCCCAGAACCCCCAGGTCACACACATGCCCTTGTCCTCCTCCTGAGCTTTTTTCCCCACCGGAAGGATACGGACACTGACAGCCTCAGCATCGGTGCTCAGGAGACGTTTCACCTCTTTTTCCACATCAGGAGACTCGATATACTGGGCCAGAGAGGGGAAAGAGAACAGACACACTGTTAAATGCCCTGTGCGTGCTGCTGGTGCTGGCCAACTACAGGGATCCACCTCTGGATAGAGCACTGTTTCAAGGCTTTCTTATCTTCTGATTTCTGCACAGAATTTCCTCATATTTAACTGTGAAGTAATTTATGCACCCCCCACAAAAACAATCCCTCTTTTTTGTACCTTGGTAGGTTGAGTGCTCTCACTTTTCTGTTTATACTACGTATTTCATAAGACTTTCTGTGTCTATGCAGAAAGCCCTTGAGGTGTTGACGGTCAACTCAACTGAACTCAACTGAACTCAAATCCTTCCCATCCCACTTAAAAAAAGACTTCATTTTTCACTTTTAAATTAGTCAGGAATTTTACTGCAGTGATATCAAATCTCTCCTGTGGGCTACAAGAATGTCTCAAGTAATTTGATTCCCAAATGTCATGCAAAATCACACTCAACCCTGTTCTCAGAAACTGCAAAGGAGAGAAGAACAAGTCTTCCCAGCCTCAGGGTGCTGCATCTCCCCAACACCTTGCCTGGCTTGTGCATATGCACAGAGACAGTCTCTGAGCTCCATCTGTTGTCACTCCCCCAGCCGAAGTGACAGTGGTACTATTTGGGGAAGGGAATGGGCCATGCATAAAGAGAAGATGTGAGCTGGGAAAGCAGGAATGAGTGAAGCCTCATTTCCATGTGAGTCTTTCTTCCTTTTTTCTCTATGAGCAGGAAGAGATGTGGTTTGGCAAGGCAGCCACAGGAATGAGGTCCAGCAGTACTCTGAACACAGGACTTTCCCCTCAGGAGCATCTTGGAAAATACAGAGGAAGCACCCAAAGAAGTATTATCCTACCCTCACCTTCATCTCAGGCAAGGAAAAGTGAACAAATGTTATAAAACACATGACTTTTGGACCAATCACAGTTACAGCTCTAATGTCTCTGCTCTCCTAACCCTTGGGTATTTCATCTGCATCTGGTCGAGAAGCAGCTCACCTTCTTCTTAGCTGTCTTCCGGAATCGCCGCTTCCGGACATTTTTCAGGGGAAGAGTGACTGTGACAGAGGAAACAGATTTCATGTGTCAGGCAGATGGCCCAGTGAGAGAAGCACGTGTCAGAAGGGAGAAGATCCCTTCTGCAACAGAGAGAGCTGTGGAAAGGAGCAGCAGCACTGCCAGTACCTGGCTCAGATGTGGGGTGCTGGGGTGGAGGGGTTTGCACAGCCTCTACTCACTGCCATGGTTCCATATGAATTTCTTCTCTCTGTCCTTGTCCTTCTTCTTGTTTGCCTTGGGGTCAGTGGTCACTGTTTGCTCTTCCAAAGGCGGGTACAGATCACCATCCACGGTGCAAACAAGCATCTGGAATCCCCACATCAACACAGGGATGTGAAGGAACAGTGACTGCCCACTGCACATTGTCAGCCAAGGGGATTCAGGGGCACAGGGTGTGGGAAACACAGCTGCACCCCAGCTCAGCTGGACACAGCAGCAGTTCAGCTGTCACAATCACATTTCACACTTCAGGAATGAAGTTTCTAAAAACCAAGTGGAATGGGGAATTTTAAACTGCTAATACTGTGAGATACAGGAATTGGGTATGTTATAATGGGTGTCCAATTGCCAAAGTGTACAGGGGTTTTCCTGGAGAGGGGAGCAGTGAATTAAGCAAGAAGGACAGCTCATACCTGGCAAATATCCGCTGTCTTGTAGAAGGTTTTCTTGTCAATGGTTTTTAAGCTCTCGATGATGCAGGGCAGATCCACCAGCTTGGCTGCCAGTGGCACCCTGTCCACACGGACAATCCCATGGCGCCCGTCCGCTGGGGAGAACCAGGAGCACGTCAGGGCTGTGCCTCAGCAGCCACCCCGGGAAATACAGCCCAGGGCAGCAGGAACTTCACAGGACAACACGTGCAGGTGGCACAGCTTCAGCTGTGGTCAGGGCTGGAGCAGATGCCCTGGTGCTGCTCACTCACCGTGCAGCTCAATGGTGAGCCTGTCCTTCAGGTTGACATTCCCAGACTGGACTGCTCGCCGCACAGTCGAGGCATATTCCTGAGAAGGGAATTCTTCAGGAGCTGGTGTGCCTCCTCCAAGAGTTACCAAAGGCTTCTGCCCAAGCCACCCAGCTTTAAACACTGCCATCCACATGCTGGACAGCAACCACAGGACCCACGGAGAACAGCAGCCTCCTCCCAACACCACGTTAATGTGGCTCTGCTATTCCCAGTGCTCTCCATGCCCCTGGCACAACACAGCTGTGACAGTGGTGTGAGGTCCCTGACAGAGACACCTGCCAGAGCTCCACAGCACTGTGAGCAGTTAGAGCTCCTCACAGAATCCCAGAATAACTGGGGGTGGAAAAAGAGATTATCCAGTCCAACCCCCCTGCCAAGGCAGGGTCACCTGGAGCAGGTGATAC